CTTTTTTGCTACAGGCGCACGGCTGTAGATCATACTCTGCTAGAACCTTGAGCAACAGGCAAGTGATACGTGAAACAGACAGGCACCTGGATGTGTAACATTCAGTGTTTCACCCCCGGCTCGCCCTTCTGGGTTTTAACAATCATCCACCTTGCTCTGGAGTTTGAACGGTCTAAATGTGTGTTAACTACGTTCTGGTGTGGGGAAATCGCCTGGGAGGCGGGAACTAAATGATTAAGTCATTTGGGGCCTGGAGACCCGGTTTGTGTTGTGGCCGGCATCAAACTATTCAAACTAGGTGCCGGGACATTAATCAAGGCGATTTACATTATGTTCCTGCGAGCTTCCAAAAACCCCAAACTCAAAATCAAAGTTGCTTATAAGCCATGCAAACCTGTTAATTGTTCGATTCCCGGCCCCCACGCCATGCCCAAAGTTTAAAGCAATTCAAACGAGCTATGGGGAACTAGTGACGAGGGGACTTGAGTCTTGAGATTACAAGTTGATTTCTGCTTTCCGGTGACACACCGCATGTTGCAACTGCTCCTTCACCTCAAGAGGAGACAGGGCGGGAGGCCGAAGACTGGACACGTTGGCATGCCGGTGTATGGTAATCTGGGTTGAGTGGGAACTTCTGAAAGCTAGTGCTACGCCACAAACGAGCAATCACGCAGGCCGGGTGGATCGAAATACAGCATGACGGCCAAGGCTGAAATTTGACTGCATAAGAAGCACCCAAGAGCACCAATCGTATCCCATGCTCTTGAGCGCACGTGCAGGTTGACAAAGTGAATGGCCAGGTTCGCGGCCATCATCATGGCCATACGTGGAGCAGACCACCACTCACTTTGCGTGCCCCACGATCCCCTTCAAAATCGAAGATTGGGACACGAGAGGCCTCCTCGACATGGGGAAGGTCCACCCTCTAGGGTCACGGTCACAGGTACATTTTCGGCGGTTGTAAACGAATGTGGGGGCTGAGGGTATGTTCCGGGGAGGAGTCAGCAACAGATGCAGGTCAGTGGGGGAGGCTCACAACGAGATGCCAGCAAGCGGCTTGAAACGCTAGGTCGCCCGTTCCAAATTTTCCATTTGAGGCGGAAGGCTGGCAAAGGTTTGCACCATGCGTGTCGTGCCTCTGGTCGCCTTAGTTCTACAACCTCCTTCTCCTCACTCGTCATCACTCCAGATTCATTGAGGTCACTGAAGACCTTAGCACGCCGCCCCCGTCATTACACGCACGTCACGAAGACGCGAAAAGCTGCTTGTCCCCAGCGCTTTCGCTCCTGCAATCTGCTGCTTGCCAGCAGAGAAACATCCATGAAAAGGACCGACTTGAACTGTCGAGGCAGAAATCCAGCATCACCCATAGGAGATGCCAACCTGATGTGGTGGGGTGTCGTTGGTGCTGATGCCAGGCATTCCAACTCTCCAACTACACGCGATCGGCTGCAGGATTTCGGAGCGATGTTATGTGCACAAATCCGAGTGGCCAGTGGAGCATCTCGAACCACAGCACTTCCATCGGATACATGATCAGTGTCAGCCTCACGACAAATGTGCGAAGGACTTGGTGCAACAAGGACAACTGTGTCAGTCTAGCAAGCAGGAGTGATATGCCAAAGCAGAATGACAGCTTGGAGGTCGAGTTCGAGGAATGCCTAACTAGAGCTTAGTTTCATCATTTCGGACCATTATTAAAATTCCAGGCTTCGCAATGTATACTGTATGCTGATTGTCGGATCTGCTCTCTAAGTCGGATAGTTTACACTTTATCAGACTTTCCCAATACATTGTCGACAGGTGCGGTTCGGCCCCGTCTGGCAAGTGGCACATAGACTTGTTCTGAGTCCAGCTCGCCCAAGGTCCTAAGTCTTGCAAAACACGTCACGACCTGCGCTAGATGCTTCCAGGTGCTTGTGAGTGGCGTTCGCTGCGCGCAGGCAAGAGCCATGATGGCACAAAGACCTGAGCTTCGCCGCCTGCGAAACCTTTCTTGGGAGCTTGATCGACAGCTTCAGCACACAAACCCGGCCGCTACATGTCAAGGTGCTGGGCAACGCCCCTATGAGCGAGAGGTCGTTGACACCTGTTCACATGATCGTTGGCTCTGTCTCTGGCGCCTGCCAAAACGGCCAGGATTCCATGTCATGCAGCATGCCGGGGCACCATGGATGTCGAGGGCGGCCAAGTTCAGAGCCAAAAACTGAAACACCACAACGCATGCCTCGACCACAAAGCAATCACTAGTTTGTCAAGGGACGAAGCACTCCCCGTCTGAGAATCAGACTGCGGCCACATATGGAGCATTGATCTGCACCCAGCATATGCCTCAAAGGCATCTTCTGCGGCAAATGCTGGCAAAATGAAGATCTCATCAACTGATGCGTTTCAGCCACCGAGGAGATAGTAGGAGATGCCCTGGAGCATCATCCTGTAACCAACACTGCGCTTACTACAAAATTCATGAATGTTCATGACATAGCGGCTCTACGCGCAGAACCCTGGGCCAGGCTCGTCCGTGCATCAAGCTCTGGCACGGCGAGTGGTACATCGACATGTGAAACCGCTACATCCAAGCACGTGCCTCACGCCCAGGGACATGCAAACTCGCCTTAAGGCATGACAGGTCAATGACAGGATGGTCAAAATCACGAACGCTCGGTCTCACAGACGCTGCCAGCTTCCCACTGGAGCTGAGCCGCGCATATGCGTCGTAGCATTGCCAGAGTGCTTGCAGACGCCGAAAGAGCTGGATGTGACGCTGAGTTCGGTGGTGCACCTCAAAGTGTCATCGCGGGCTTGATTATCCAGAAACTCGGATTGGATGTCAGGCTTTTCAAGCGTAAGGCGTAGTTCAGCTGCTTGGGGGTTTTCCGGACACCACACATACACATCCGGGCAGAGGACACCAGCTCGCTGTGCTAACACAGTTTCGCTGTCGGGATGGTGCAGCGCAGTCTGCGACACAGGTGCCAACAAGAAACTGCCTTCATGATGTCTTCCTCATAACCGGCCACGTCCTTTGCTCTTATTCGCCATGTTTGGTTTTCGGCGGAGCTGGCGAAGGTGAACGCACATCGCTCGAAACTGCAATTGCAAATGCCAACAGGTTGCGAGTTTCATCAATCCTCCATAGGCCCAGATGCCATCTCCCAAATTGTCCGACGGAGCTGAGCAGGCATCAATTCACTCCAACTTCACTGGTTGTGCGAGAACACTTACAGCACTAGATTTCTATCGTTCATTGATATTGCGGCCAGTCACCTTCTCGCTGTGCCTCGAGCTGTGGTCGGTCTTGCCACTTGTTGTTCGCCTCGGAACACCGAAGAATGTCCGCAGGGCTCGAGGGACACTTCGTGCCAAGCACCTTGTTCAAGAAGGGTATTCGCAACATCCTCGGATAGGCCGCGATGCTGGGATTCACGAGGCATCGACATCATTTGAGCGATTCCACTGTCTCGGTGGTGCTGTTCATTTTGGCTTGCCAGCGCCTTCTTGTCGTGCAAAGCTGTTTTTTGTGATTTGGCTTCTAGGCACTGCAACCGGGAATGCCGCGCAAAGCACTGCTAAAACACAGGTGGCACGAGGGAAGCTTTGATTAGAAGATGCAGAGTGCGGGCAACTGCAGGCGAAGGAAATGCGGTGCGAACCCTCAGCTGCATGCAAATTTCGAACAAAACGACCAAAACACGCAGCCAAAATCACTGCAAAATTGTTGCATGAGAGTTCACAAGTGCCACACCGGGCGATACTGAATCCAGCTCCCACATGAAGTCTCTCGGCCTGCTACAACCTCTCCCCTGTGCGGCTAGGTTTCTGCCGGCCTTGCCTCTCAAAGTCCGCAAAGCGCGCATTCAAGACCTCGCTCAGTGTTTGTGATCGGCTGATGGGGGGTCTTGAAGCCGCTCTGGCGAGTACGAGCACCACAGATCTCTAACGAAGGCATTTAATACCCTATAAACCCTCTAAACCCTCTAAACCCTATAAACCCTATAAACCCTATAAACCCTATAAACCCTATAAACCCTATAAACCCTATAAACCCTATAAACCCTATAAAGCCCTATAAACCCTGTAAAGCCCTATAAAGCCCTATAAACCCTGTAAAGCCCTATAAAGCCCTATAAACCCTAAACCCCTATAGCTCCTCGTTGCTCCGAGGAGCATTCAGCTGCGAGCTCCCGGGGATGGGCAACCGGATGAAGCGCGTCAGCACGCGCGTCGCGTAGCCTCAGAGCTGGCTCTTTTTAGCAGAGCGAAGAGGAAGAGGGGCCAGGTGTCATTGATGGTAATCAACGAAATTGCTGTCCGAAAGGCTGTGTGAAGTCACGGAAGCATGCATGGACAGCCACACGGCCATGATGAGATAAACAACGGAGCTTCCCTGACGTCGTCGCAAAACATGGTGCAAATTGAATCACTGCTTTGCGATGCTTGGGCGCATGACGGCAGCTCTTCTGCTCTTGTTCTTGGTTGATACTACGCAACTCTTCTTGCTGGAATCGCATTCCGCAGCACCAGATCCCCTCTGCCTGCGACACATAGTAATAGCCTGCAGCTTCTGGAAGTGCAGAATCGCGATCCAGTGAGTGCCACACATGTGCAGCCAGAGAGCAGAGAAGGAAGGGAGGAAGCCCTTCCTCAAAGAAGCCCTCGCAGAAATAAATACAGATCCTGGGTCAGCATCACTGGCGTGGATGTGGCGTCGTGAAACATGAGAGACCTGAAGTTCAAGGCCGCGGGTCATCTTTATGAATAATGCACCTACCAGGTGATACAGGTTCATCTTGCTGGTGGTCATCTCTACCTTGGTGCAGCGAACGTGGGGGAAGGACCTCGGCCTGGCCTAAGCTCGACGGCCTCAGATCTCATCAGGCCGGCGGGGCACCAAGTCTCGAATGTCTTCGCGGAAGAGATTAAATAGCTCGACCTCCGCGGAACCGGGTCACTGTATGGCTCAAGGTAAGCTCTTCTTCGGTGGGTTATGTACGCTCGACATGAGCCACATTGTGAGAAAAGGACACACCTATCCTGCTTAGGCACATCCACGAGACTCGGCTTATGGCAGGAACGGTATGATAAGAACCGCGTACCAATTTTCTGTAGCCGGGTCGGTGTGTTTGTTCGGCAAGGGTAAAGCAAACCGCATCTTACCTGTGCGGGGGGCCCTTTCCTCACGGACTAAGATTCTCCCGTCACGTGGACTCCGGACTTCTAAACTTTCGGCAAAGGCCTGCATCTTGACCCGGACTTCATCACGGCTGAAACGTTGTTCCTGGCTCTCCCACTCGAACCAGATGCAGCTCTGCTATGCTCTGTCTCTCCACGGTGCAGTCTAACAGCATTCTTACTCGGCTGGATTGCTCTTTGGTGCGGCCACCTGGTCAAACTCGAAATTCTCTCGGTTGTACCGAAAAACCTCAGGCAAAGTTACTGGGACATGCTGTTGCTGTCATGAGCAAGCGGGTTTCCGACCTCCGTCCCCGCCAGGCCCATGGCCGCCATTAGCTCCATGGCCGGCATCTCCTCGCTTTGCAGAGCAAGCCGAGCAAGCATCGTGGCATCGACATTTCTTGTTGCAGCTTCGAGGCTGCGAGCAGCCAACTTGCAAGCACAAGCTTGCCGAGAAGATAGCGCGAAGGATCAATCTCAATTGTCGGCTAGGGGTGCGTGACAACGTGTCCAGCGGCTCTCCGCGTGAATGAGGAGAGATCGAGTCAGACTGCAGACAAGGTATGTCGAAATAGATTCATGCAGCTGTCTTCCTGGTAAGCCACGAAAGTCGGATATCCGAACACAAGACCTTCAAGCGCCGCGGCTCAAGGAAACAATCAGCCGAAGCCAATCAAGTCAGCAAGACGGCTCCCAATGCAGCCATCATCGCCACTCTGCCGTGCTTGATTTCAGCAGCCTCGGGGCAGTCATAAGTCGCAAGACAAAAAGGCATCGGAATCATGTCGCACCCGTAACCGTAGGTCCCGGCACGAAGACTCTGAAAGCCATCCTTGTCTCCCACCTTGCTGAAGCCTGATCGAAGGGCCCGTGGCCACAGACAAAGCTGTGAGCTGTGCAAAGCCTGCAGGGTCGAAGAAACCAAGCGGCCTTGGCAAGCGCTTCAGAGGATCGAAGGTCGAACCCCGTTGCATTCAGTTGCGTTCTGAAGTCACGTCAAGGTTTCACGGGCAGCTCAGTGTCAGATTCTCTGCCACACGGCTCAGACAGTGACGCCATAGCTCCGACCTGGCAGGCAGCTTGGAAGCACAAGCTGCTCACATCTCTGAATTTCGGCCATTCCCTCGAGATGAGTTGCTTTGGCTCTGCCTGCTTGGCAGGATCGAAAGGCGGTGGCTTGGGGGCCTCCTCGCAACATCTCTCAGCGCTGCAACGACAGCTGTGATGCTCGACGGCAGAAGGCAAGTACCTCTTCTGCCTCGGCGCGCAGCGGCGAAGCTGTGTAGAGTGCCTGTCAAGCTTCGCATCAAGTTTGGACGTGCATCAAGTTGCATACCACCTCTGAGCACCGCACCCAATCACCCCATGCAGAGCCGGTTAGACCGTCTTGGAAGAACATGCCAATGATGGCCTGGTCGAGGCAGCCGATTACTTAGCGGCAGCAAACCGCCAAAGTAAGCACAAACCGAGTTCATCCAGCAAGCCATTGCAAGATCCTAACGCTGGCAAGGCACCATCATGGCCAGACGGCCGTTGGCCAACTCGGCCGCCAATTTGCTTTTGCGGGCCTCCGGGTCCTCGACCTTGCCCAGGAAGTTGGGGAAGCCCACTCCATAGTTGCCCGGCTCCGCAGA